GGGGGGGGGGGGGGGTGGGAAGCAAGTACAAAAAAAATATTCTCGCAAGGGAAAATTAAATGAAAAAAAAAATGCAAAATGCAAAAAACGCCAATTAAACCTAAAAAATATTCATGCTATAGCCTAAAAAAAATCATACAAGGTATTTGATAAAGAAAAAAATTCCTGCGGCTCGAAAATTTCCCACCCCCCCATAACTTTTCTAGTGGTCCATCCCTAACAAGAACGTCTACAAAACAAACAGCACAATTTCCAACACAAGTAGATATAATAAAGGATTAAATTAGCTGCAAAAACCGAAGACGAAGATCCTGCTAGTTGTAAACGTTGGATCTCTAGATAAGAGATCAAATCAGCCAAAATATAACGAACCAAGAACAACAAGTCCAAAGACTACTGAAAAGCTGATTTAAAACAACGTATATTGTTTTTTATAAAAATATTTCGGCTGGCTGGTATGGCCCGCCGAAATATTGTTATAAAAAACAATATACGTTGTTTTAAATCAGCTTTTCAGTAGTTTTCAATTGTTGTTCTTGACAAGTAGATATAGTTACTACGTTTTTCACAAACATGCGAGCTTTGAAGTTCAAAAGCCAACTGATGATTGCGTTTTTCGCTGCCGTCAATCATCTTAACGGACCTCAGTCTTAGGAAACAAAACTGTACATCAACGCATCCAATAGGTCATGGTCTGTGATTTGCGATAGGTGGATTTTGATCCGTTTTGTGTTTCAAGGTTCGTTGCTTGTGATCGTAATTATGATTGACGGCGGTGAAAACGCAATTGTGAAGGCGGCTTTTGAACTTTAGAGTTCGCATGTTTGTGAAAGGCGCTGTAAAGTGAGGGGTGGGGGAGGGGCGGGGTTTTTTTTCAGAAAAGTGTGGTGTATTAAAACTTAACCCCCCCAAAATAATTACTTTGGTACCCCCCTTGACAATAACAATTTTTAAGATGCACCCCCTCTCCATCCCCTTCTAGACCAAGTCTCTTCTTTCATCCTTAGGCATTGACTTCATAAGCTATAAGAACCGGTAGTTGGTAGCGAAATTTTGAAGGTTCACACAGGGGAATAAAAGTTAGTACGCCGAAGGCACCCCAAACCGGGTAGAGTCGGGGTGCATGCTCCCCAAGAAAATTTTCAATTTGTGGTCTTGGAAATGCCATCTCCTGCGTTTTCCGCAGGACATTTTCAGTAAATAAAGACAAAGGAAAATGCAGTAATTAGTTGTTTATTTTACCCAGCTATCACTAGTGTTATCCGTGAGGTACAGGCTGTTTTAATACGGCAAAAAAGGGCAAAATAGTGACGCCATCAAGGACGTCATAAGCAAAGGGCAAGATGTGCACTCCTCCCTGCTCCCTCGCGCGCCGTCTCGCGCCTCATCCCTTCCCCCTCCCTTTCGAACGCCTGCCACGCAGGCTACTTCGACGGCTGATGTGAAGACGGTGAAAGTTGCACGCATCGCTTTACAGAATTTTCTGAGTTGAGATCAAACGACGTATTGTCTACAGATTAAGCTCTCCGAATTGTCTACGAATGTAACGCAACCATCTATCAATTGATTAGC